TGCTATATTTAATATATAGTTATTATATATTATATATTTATTTATATATAATTTATTCATAATTATATATAATATAATAATTAATATATTAATAATATATATTATATACTATTATATATAATAATATAATAATAATAAATAATATATCATATATATTAATAATATATATAATAATATAATAATAATAAACAAAATATTATATATATTAATAATATATATAATAATATAATAATAATAAATAATATATTATATATATTAATAATATATATAATTATAAATATTTATATAATTATATATAATTTCTTTTTTTCTACTTATCCTCGATACTTTTCTTTAAGTAATCGTAGCGAACACAAATGTGCAGTATAAATGCATGCAATTCAGAGTTCCTATTCAAATATGTATAAATGTTAAGCATCTTGAAATCATATGCAAGATAACGCGAGAGTGCTCGAAGGCGATTCATACCATTCATTGAGAAAATTGGATGCTTTCTCGAATGCGTTTCATAGATGAGTGTAATGTAATCGGGCATCGCGTCACGGTCATTTTACGCAATCGTAAAAAGATTTCACGTACAACTTACCACGCCCATGTATGTTAATTTAGCCAGTTTTGTAATCGGCCCGCGCATATTCCCGGTAAAAGAGACAGGAGCAAGGCCGACCATTAAAGCGATTTTCTCATTGTACTCCGGCCTTTGCGACATCATTACCCAAAATTGAGTTGTGCCCTGCGAGTGGCCGATGTAAAAAACTCTTTCACGTTTAGTCCGACCGAGTATGTAATCGATCGTGGCGGGAAGATCGCAAATGCCGAGCTCGTGGTAGCTGAAAGAAAAATCAGGTTGAATTTCAAAAAGAACATGTGACACGAATAACATCGTAGTTGTTGCCAGTTGCACACCTGAAATCCCAAAAACGGCGATCGGTCGAAATGAGCGTCCTATGGTTCTTCGAATAAACGTTGCCTCTGTTGTTCCCGAGCCATACATCGTATCCCGCATCTGCCAATAAGTACCCTGAAAACAGCAAAACAAAGCAGTTGCAAATTATTTGGCACTTTCAAAGTGAAATCCAGTGTGTTCATGGCTGTAATAGTAGGCCATCCCACACAGTGCGAGGTCGTCCACCATTGTAGAATAATAATCTTTGATACCACTAAACAAAATTCAATCTCCCGAACTGTAACATAGAAATACAACTTTGCAGATTTGTTGTAGGAAATTTTTTAACGACTGGTGGAACCACTTGATCTATAAATAGAGCTTTGTAACACTACGAATTGACGTTTCGTGGAAGTGCATAATTTGTCACGTTGTAATCACGTTTTTCGACAAACACGCTGAGAATTAATTGCACGGTCCTGCTTAATAAGTCAGTAAAGCATTAAAGTGTTTTTATAATTTTATTGTATTTTATTTATTGCATTAATGCGGCGTCTTGTTCAATAACTGTTTTTTTATGTAACTATAATTTCAAAAATTTAATACAACAATCCGCGATCTACCTGTTCAATTACAAATAGAAGATAGTAAAATACTGGACAAAAATGCACATTAAATATCATCGTACACGGGTATTTAATTACCTAACGAGTTAGATGGTCCTAAGAGGATCCAATCCGCGGAACTTCCGGCCAAGCCGTGCTGCACCAAAATCGGCGGCCTCCTCGAGATTGTCTTATTATTTCGTCCATAGGGAATGCGATGAATCTCTAAAATGTACCCATCCTCCGTAATGACTTTATGAGTTTCCATCGGGTAACCGTGTTTTCGTATAAGGTCTGGCTAATGAAATAAAACTATTTATTAAGAAGATGAACGCAGCATCGGTGCCGCGTCACGTAGACGTAGCAGTGTATTAAATAAAAAAAGAAACGTAAACAACACTCACTCCCATAAGTTCCATATCCGGATGCTTTTTTCCTTTGCGAAAACCGGTGATGGAAGAAATATTCATCGCGAATAATTGCAGAACGACGAGACTGCGCAACAACGACATCGTGTTTCAAATAAATCGTTGATGATAAAACGTGAGTATTTTATAGGAGACGGCGGCTTGAACAGGTGTGCTCATGGTGCATGGTTCGTTTATCCTGTGTTCCCGACCTTTAACGTGTACATCGGCATTGCTTAGCAAATGGAAAGTGCAGTAGGAACGGATAAATGAAACCGATCAAGGAGAAGGTCTCTCCCACCCCACAGTGTGTCATTCACAATGTTACTTTACCAGAATTACTCTAATTTACTCTCTCCTAATTTGTCTGAATGATCCACTTCAATTCATCTCAAACGGCTCATCGTGTTTTGCAATCACAATGGGCCTTACCTTCTTTTTATTTTGCTTCTTACGAAGCCGCCGCCATTTTTATTTATCTTAACGGTGGCCTCAAGATCTTCTTGTCGCGTTACTCTAATTTCGTTGTAACCGCTGTTACTTTCGTTGATCTCGTAGTTTTGCGTCTTTTTATCAAATTGCGTTTTAATCTTTTTACAGGTCTATTTTTAACGATTTCAAAAGTGTCCTCATTAAGGGTAATCGCTTCCACTATCCTCTTCCAGACGATTGATTTTCCTTATCTATTTTTAGGTCTCGCTGTATTTGCGCTGTAGTACCCTTGACATCTGGAACATAAAAAAAAACCCATTGTTTTCGCTCGGAACCTGACCTCCGGCAGTATTGTGAAACTGCATACGCAATAGAGGGTGGTTGTACGCAAAGCAAGGTCGATTACATCATCATATATAACAACGACCGTTTACGAATAAGTACAAAACATGTTTATACCTCATTTAACGATTTATTTATATTCTTAACATTCATTATTTACTAGATTCAATATATGTAGGCCAATCCGAGATTATTTCGTTCTTTCTATGTGTTTAAAAAAATGTTCAGTTGAATATTTCGAGGTAAGAGTACAAGAAAGAAATAAAGTTGATAACATTGTGATCCCATTTTCCTAAATATTTATCCTAAAATATTTTGTTTTTTTTTATTAAATTAAGGGAAACGAAAAATAAATGAGAAGCTAGACAAAAATTTATAACATTTCAGTGAAAATATAAAATGTCACAGTTAAATTTTGCAAATATAAACAAACAATTTTTAGACTTTACTATACTACTACTACTTTACTTTAGACTAATTTATTTCAATTGGTAATATAATCTAATTATCTATGTATTTTTATTCTATATTTTCGTATTTTTTGAGAATTAATTATCTTATTCTAAGATATTTTACACATACATACATTATACACACATTTATTGTAACCGTGATCATGACAGCGTGCGCACAAGTTTATTTATAGTAACATGACAGTATAAAATCTACCAACAATTTTGGTATCATAACTGAAACGTATGAATATTACTTATGAAATTATATTATTTAATATTAAATACTATTAATATATACAATGTTTTCCAAACAGTTTTTGAAAACTGTAATTTTATTGGTTTTAAATCACGTGGTGAGAAAGTGTCATCTTTCGTGTGTATCTTAAACTTAAACATTAGTCCACGACTTCACGACAGTTCACGATCAACTGCGATCGACGATGACGACGGTGGTGTTATTTGCGGTCTCTTGTCATAGAACTGAATTGATTTTGCAAATACAAGATTAAAGATGTAATATTTATTGTCATATAATTAGAATAAGAAGAAACAATGGTATCGGCCGGTATTTTGTGTATTCCAATTGTTACCGCATTCTTCTATTGGAATAATTTAATATGGTGCTACATATTCGGAGTGCTAACCATATCATGTTTCTGCATGGGATGTTTGATTGTTATATTCATAAACATTGCTCTTTCTCCAAAACATCAAACTGGTGCAGGCACGTTGAAGACTGTCGCGGAGATCGATGCTTTTCATAATTTGTTAATGGTATGCACCGTATTAATATTTATTAATCGATTTACATAAACTAATTTATTTGTCACAAATACGTACACGCATAACTGATATGTTAAAAGTATCAATTTCTATATAATAATGTCAAATTTATTTTCCTGTAGATAATGTTACATTTCCTGTAACTACTGACGTTGATATACCTTTGTTCTGCCAGCTTTTTCACTGATACACACGGATAAGATAACGATTATCAGATAGAAATAATGGACATTTCTTTAGATTTATAAATTTTAGCATTCTTATCTTTTGTTCCACACGATATCTATGGTATATTTTGCAACGCACCTTGTTTTTAGAGTAGATAATCTTTGACAAGTTTAAACGTTACTCTACAGGAGGCTAATAAATATAATGTAGGCTAAATACAGTTTCTAACTATTGTCATTAATTATTCTATATAATTTCAGAAGAGATACACGATTCCAACTTCAAATCCAAAAAAGTATGCCAAGTACCCATTGGTTTTCACTCGTATGGTGGACGGAGCTCTACAGAATCTATTGGATTTAATTTTTCAAGATTTCATTGGTCTCTGGCTTAGTGAACTGGCTTTCAATTCCGAGCAAACAATAGACAATATGAAACAAGATCTATGGGGAGCAATTCAAAGTCTTCATAGCCGTTTATCTAAAGTTGATCACACAAAATTAGTTGTTTGTAACATAGTAAACAAGATAACTTTTCATTTTGAAAAGATTAGAATTGCTCAAGCAGCTTCGTATGTTCAGTCAAATTATCTTCGTTATTATATATGATAATGATTACCAAAAATTACATGTTTTCTGTATTTATGAACAGATCAGAAGGTGAAGATCCAGTATTTATTTTATCAACGCATTTAATGTCGCCTACATCTGAATTAGATTATTTGAGAAGAGTCTCTGAATTATATATTTTACTTTTGTTACCACGTTCTTATTCCCTTGTACCAATAAAATATTTATTAAGGGAAATTCTGGCATGTAAAAGTAAGTTCACCGCGCAACTTATATATTTATAGAAATATTTGTTAAATATATATTTCATTCATTATATATTTGCAGTTCTAAAACCAGCGATAGATTTAATAACTGATCCTGATTACATCAATCAAAAGATTTTATCTTATATTGATCAACAACAACTTGCTGAAGCGATGCATAGAAAAACGTACGAATATGCTGAATCGTTCGAAGACTTTATACGCATGATTAAGAGTTCTAAGGATTTAGAAGTTTTGAAACATATCAGATACAATATTGTTACCGAAATTATGCAAGCGACGACAATACAAAATGTGAAACGAGCACAAGGTTTAGATCCAGACAATAATGCGTTTGGAAAATCAGATGCTATTCAAGCTAGAAAATTAAAGAGGTATATCAGTCAACTGACGTATGCTAAAACTACATGCGAATGTCACATGCAATCATTAGGATGGAATGGATATACTGTTCAGGTTGCAAAGATAGTTTTCTTTATTGTTTGTTACTAAAAAATTATATTTGATAAAAATGTTTTGTAGGCTAATGATACATTACCATTGCAATATATCCTGGACAACGTAATTGGTCGAAGATATCTTTCACAATTTTTGGAACAAGTTGCTAGTCAAGATTTGATTGGATATTGGGCAGCTGTGCAAGAGTTACGCAATGCTGATAAGTCCCATTGGCATCAATTGGGTGCAGAAATTTTTTATACCTATATTACGTCTCCTACTGCTGAAATAAAAGTTGACAGATCTATTCGGAAAAAGATGGAGAGTTTTTTGTTAGGTGATATAGGGCCTAATGTATTCTATGAAGTGCAACATAACGTTGTTAAAATTTTGGAACAGAAATATTACCCATCGTTTGTAGTCAGTGAACAATATAAAAATATGCAACAAGCATTACTTAGTGAAAGAACAGATGGTTAGTATGAAAATCTTAGTATTATGGATGCAATTTAATTAAGCATCGTATGCATAATTTTTTAGATTTAGCAGAAGATCGTCGTATAGCAGATGGAACATTATCAGAAAATGTGTCCTTACTTGTTGGAGAACATTCAAATTACGCTCGTAGTAAATTGGATCAGTTACAAGAGAAACTGAACAACAAAATGCAGGCTTTACAAGCATTGAAAGCTTCGTTAAAACCGGAAAGCAAAGTTTTGAATCTCTTGGCTAAGGAAGTTGAGTGGTTGCAAAGTGAGAAAAGGCAACTAGAAGCACATTTAACTCATACAGAAATGTGGGCAGAGCATCTGGGTCACTGGAGAGCAGAGGTACAAAGCGCAGAAGTAAGTCAAGGATAAATTATTCATCGGTAAACAGAATAAATAAGGTCTAAATATTTTAATGGAACGAATATTTATTAAATAGATACTAGACAATGGAGAATCACCACAATTTGTTTTGGTTGTTCATATGGCCGAAGATGAAAATAATAGTGATAGTATTTGTAGTGGTTGGGTGGTGTTAAGAAAATTACAGGACTTTCAAGATTTGCACAGGAAACTTCGTCAACTCTGTTCTAATATAAAAAATTTAGATTTACCATCGCAACCTTTAAAATTTTTTGGGAAGTCTGATAAAAACACCTTAGACAAAGCAAAAATACAAATTCAAAAATATTTAAATGCAAGTCTTTTAAGTATTATCTATATTTAATACACTATTATTAGTCAATTCAACTAATAATGCATTCATTATTTTCAGTTTATTTTAGAAGATGAAAAACTCAATCAAAGCGAAGCATTATATACGTTTCTTAGTCCAAGTTCAGAACACTTGAAACATGCGCCACCATCTCCTAAAAAATCTCGTTTTTCCTTATCAACGTTATTTAAAACGTATGAAAGTATATATTTGATTTGGAATACTATATATAATGCCACAATAATCATTTGAAATTGTTATATTAGGTCTAGTACTAGCAGTGATATTCGTGATAAGGATGATGAAGAGGATTACTCTCTTTTGTTGGATGATACTGATAGTGCACGATCAGTTACAGACGGATACTTAAGTTCCAATAAAGATGCAATAGCAGAGCCTCTATACACACTTTTGGGTGAAATTTTTGATTTAAGAGGGGTATTTCGGTGGCTGAGGCGATCATTAATTATTTTCGTTCAAATTACTTATGGTCGAACAATCAATAGGTATAAATTATAATTTTTTAGAATTGTCCTACTGATTACGTACTATAGACAGAAGCATATAATACACTTTTTAGACAAATCAGAGACACTATTGCGTGGATATTCTCAGAACCAATGCTTCATTACTATGTGCAATTATTTACAAAATCTTGGTGGCCAAATGGCCACTTAGTATCTGCTAATGTTCTTCGTTCGGATGAAGAAAAATTAAAGACGCGAGGTGAAGCGCGAAGACAGTTCTTAAACAATGTACCTGAAGTATTAACCAATTTGGTTGGCGCTCGAAGCGCGGAACGTGGGGCGATTAAAATTTTCGATTCTTTGCAAAATGTGAATTTAAATAAACAATTATTTTATGTAAGTAACTCTTTATGATAAAGTTTATAATTTTTAACTGCTCTGTCAGATACATAATTTTTTGTTACAGGATATCTTTGAGATTGTGATGTACGAAGTGTTTCCAGAATTGACAGGAATAAAACATTCATTGCAGTGAAATATACCTCTATGAGTACTTTTTATACGTATTGTTTAGAAATTACTCCTTACACTTTGTAAAATCAAACCGACAGAAATTTGCTCACATATCTTTATTTCGCCATGTTTTAAATATTTTCATAGAATGTATACACAATGTAAACAATTTTTTTTATACATCGCTCTTTTCCATGCATTTAAAGATTTAGAAGATAATTTTGTAAAATATGATTGAAATGTACATACAATGAACATAATAAATATTTATTTTCAGTCATCACATAAGCCAAGTCATTTCTTACCATGATACGCGTTATATACACGAATATGTTGAATTTCCTTAATAAGACATTCATAAAGTATCACATCTGTCTCTTATACACATCTAGATGTGTATAAGAGACAGATGTGATACTTTATGAATGTCTTATTAAGGAAATTCAACATATTCGTGTATATAACGCTGTCTCTTATACACATCTAGATGTGTATAAGAGACAGATGTGATACTTTATGAATGTCTTATTAAGGAAATTCAACATATTCGTGTATATAACGCTGTCTCTTATACACATCTAGATGTGTATAAGAGACAGATGTGATACTTTATGAATGTCTTATTAAGGAAATTCAACATATTCGTGTATATAACGCTGTCTCTTATACACATCTAGATGTGTATAAGAGACAGATGTGATACTTTATGAATGTCTTATTAAGGAAATTCAACATATTCGTGTATATAACGCTGTCTCTTATACACATCTAGATGTGTATAAGAGACAGATGTGATACTTTATGAATGTCTTATTAAGGAAATTCAACATATTCGTGTATATAACGCTGTCTCTTATACACATCTAGATGTGTATAAGAGACAGATGTGATACTTTATGAATGTCTTATTAAGGAAATTCAACATATTCGTGTATATAACGCTGTCTCTTATACACATCTAGATGTGTATAAGAGACAGATGTGATACTTTATGAATGTCTTATTAAGGAAATTCAACATATTCGTGTATATAACGCTGTCTCTTATACACATCTAGATGTGTATAAGAGACAGATGTGATACTTTATGAATGTCTTATTAAGGAAATTCAACATATTCGTGTATATAACGCTGTCTCTTATACACATCTAGATGTGTATAAGAGACAGATGTGATACTTTATGAATGTCTTATTAAGGAAATTCAACATATTCGTGTATATAACGCTGTCTCTTATACACATCTAGATGTGTATAAGAGACAGATGTGATACTTTATGAATGTCTTATTAAGGAAATTCAACATATTCGTGTATATAACGCTGTCTCTTATACACATCTAGATGTGTATAAGAGACAGATGTGATACTTTATGAATGTCTTATTAAGGAAATTCAACATATTCGTGTATATAACGCTGTCTCTTATACACATCTAGATGTGTATAAGAGACAGATGTGATACTTTATGAATGTCTTATTAAGGAAATTCAACATATTCGTGTATATAACGCTGTCTCTTATACACATCTAGATGTGTATAAGAGACAGATGTGATACTTTATGAATGTCTTATTAAGGAAATTCAACATATTCGTGTATATAACGCTGTCTCTTATACACATCTAGATGTGTATAAGAGACAGATGTGATACTTTATGAATGTCTTATTAAGGAAATTCAACATATTCGTGTATATAACGCTGTCTCTTATACACATCTAGATGTGTATAAGAGACAGATGTGATACTTTATGAATGTCTTATTAAGGAAATTCAACATATTCGTGTATATAACGCTGTCTCTTATACACATCTAGATGTGTATAAGAGACAGATGTGATACTTTATGAATGTCTTATTAAGGAAATTCAACATATTCGTGTATATAACGCTGTCTCTTATACACATCTAGATGTGTATAAGAGACAGATGTGATACTTTATGAATGTCTTATTAAGGAAATTCAACATATTCGTGTATATAACGCTGTCTCTTATACACATCTAGATGTGTATAAGAGACAGATGTCAAGAGAAATCGAAATGAATGGAAATTATTGACATATTACAAATATATAAATATACAGTGCCTAATATTTAAACACAAATAATATAAATACTGTTATGTCTTTAATGGCATCGACTAGAATTATTTAAGGTAATATTAAAAATTCAGAGATTATCGTTACTTACAATAACTGATCCAAATAATGTAAATGTTTAAATCTACCAGAATTTTATCGACTATGATGATATAGTATGAAATTTTTTTCAATTGCAGTAAATGGAGTATCTAAAATCTATGTATACGGAACATC